CCGTCTGCTCCTCCATCTGCTCCTCCATCTGCTCCTCCATTTACTCCTCTATCTAATCCCTCATCTACTCCTCCGTCTGCTCCTCCGTCTATTCCTCCATCTGCTCCTCCGTCTATTCCTCCGTCTGCTCCTCCATCTACTCCTCCATCTCCTCCTTGTAATGGGAAAATGATATGTGACCCTTTTAAATGCTTCATTCGTATAACCAGTTTATTAGTTGCAAGTGCTTAGGTCACAAAGGCCCTGACATAAGAACTGGGGCCTGTTTCAATAAGGAGGTTCAACCAACTCTGAGTTAAAACTTGAACTCTGAGTTGACTTACCCTGAGATGGGAAACTCTGAGTTTTCGGTTACAGAACAGCTGAAATGAGTTAGTTCAATCAACTCTGAGTTGACCTACTCTGAGTTAAGCGTGTGCACCACAACTATAAAAAGCCATTATCAATGGAGCGCAGATATTACGAGTCACCATGGCAACAGCGCCAGACAAAAAGAGGTCTTCATATTTTTCACCAGCAGAACTGGATGTGCTTATGAAAATAGCTGCTCGAGTCAATGCGTAAGTTTACATTTGAATTACTGTTATACAGTGTTGTGTGTAATTAATTTCTATGTAATCTAAAAACTGTAATTTAATTCCGTAATTTAAAGTAAAATCTGATGTAATTGCATTAAATGCTGCATAAACTATAAAGCAATTCTGTATAAAACAATAGTGGATTTAACATCAAATTTAAAAAGATATATTTTTTCAAGAATAATTCATGCAATTGTATAATGTTTATTTGAAAGCATTAAAAGTGCAGTTTCTTGTCTCTCCTTGTATTGTTCAAGTGGTTGAGGTTGATGTGGGATTTAGAAAGTAATTAGTAATAAGTAGACCAATACTTTCTAGAGATAGTCATTATTACATTAATCTAATTACACTGTTGAAGAAGCCAGTTGTAGTTAGTAATATAAGTGACTTGCCCAACTGTTATAATATCAGAAGTGAAACTGGAAGAACAGTGTGTTATTCAACCTAATTTTAATTTTCATGTAGGTGCAATCCTGCAGGCATTAAAAGAACATGGCAGCAGCTGAAAATGAAATATAAAAACATAATTCAATTTAGGGAAATAAAGAACACCATATAAATTGCTGTGATTTTGTGTTTATTCATTTTTATTTTATTTTGTGGGTGGGTGGGTGTGGTGGTGGATATAATGTGTATTAATCTGTGAAGACATTTCGGCATATCATATCCCGGACTACCCTTCCCTCCTGGAAATCTGCCGGGTTGATGGGGTCTTCCTCTGGGTCTTGTATTTGTAGGGCAGGGTGTTGCTCCCCTCTAATTATGGCAATTACAGGATCGTCCATAAAAGGACATGCCATTTCATTCACTTGATTTGATGCGCTCTGCGTGACTGAAATGTGCGCAATGAATGAATACCGAAAGAATGAATGAGGTGATTAAATACCACTTCCTCTTTAAAAAAGGGGAGGAGACGAAATAAACTCTGGGTTTCCCGAAGAAAACCTGCTCCCGACCAGGTTAGGTTCACAGAGTAAGTTGCCATGGTAACTGACTCTGAGTATAAGTTACCTCTCTTTCTGAAACAGGCTTGACTTACTCTGCTTTCTCAGGTTTAACATACCTCCCATTCTGAAACAGAAAACTCAGAGTTTCCCTCATTTCAGGGTTAACATACTCGGAGTTTTCACTTAACCTCCTTTCTGAAACAGGCCCCTGATGTCTCCCACTTGGATTAGATGTTTCCAGCGGCATAGCTGTAGAGACTGAACAAAGTGTTTGTTATGTCTATGACCACCTTTGTTTAAGCATGTTGGAAGAGCAAGGACACGGTCAAAGAGCTGACGTGTCTCACATGGACAAGGTGTTCCCAGTACCCTGACTGTAGAGACTCAACAAGATGGTTAACGGTCTCTGTTGACGCCACCGATATCTAAGTTTAGGTATAAGAACTGCCTCGATGTGTTGGGAAGAAAAGGAGGTTCTTGACAGTCTACTGACCACGTAGCTGTTGTGACCCTTTTTTCCCTTGCAAGGAAATAAACGGAGAAAAGACATACTTGACTCAGAGCCTTTGATTCTTACTTAACGATTGTCTGTGCAAAACCTTCCACCACATCCTCCATCTAGATAGATAGATAGACGAGGTCGTTCCTGCCCGGTGCAATAACTCTCTACAATAAATCATCTCTGGCTAAATAACGACAATAACAAGCCTGTACTGCTGTGATGCTGCTGATGTTAATTATTATTATTATTGTCTCTTTTGGAAGGTTATTCTTTTGTTTCAGTTTTAGTTTATTTAACTTAATTTAATAATTTAATATTGCTATCTTATTACATTGTATATAATGTGATCTTTTTATTATATTTTCTTCCCTGTACATGCTGCTGTGATACCAAAATGTCCCTCTTGAGGGATCAATAAAGTATCAATCTATCTATCTATCTATATATATTCCACTTTTGTCTACAGGCTCCGCAAAAATCCACACAAAATAGTAATTAAAGTAAATATGTCAAAATAGGAAAATCAGTCAGTGTGGTTGTTGTTGTTGTTGTTGTTGTTGACGGTCTGGTTCTCCAGTTGGAGCTAAATGGAACTTGGCAACTGGTGCTGATGACTGTGAGCAGCACAGATTGTCACGAATGATTCATCAGCACAATCTCACAGCCGCTGCTGGTCTGTGTGTGTGTGTGTGTGTGTGTGTGTGTGTGTGTGTGTGTGTGTGTGTGCGTGTGTGTGTGTGTGTGTCTGTGTGTGTGTGTGTGTGTGTGTCTGTGTGTGTGTGCGTGTCTGTGTGTGTGTCTGTGTGTGTGTGTGTGTCTGTGTGTGTGTGTCTGTGTGTGTGTGTCTGTGTGTGTGTGTCTGTGTGTGTGTGTGTGTGTGTGTGTGTACTGCATTTCATGCTATAAACTACAGTACTACATTTCCCTTGTTTTATACACTCCTATAAGTATTACTCTATATTCATATATACGTGTGCGTAGCGTGTGCGTAGCGTGTGCGTAACGTGTGCGGCGTCTCCCCCAGACTACCCCCCACGGCATCAGGCTGACCTCAGCGAACCCCGGAGGAGAGCGGAAGGTTCTCATCGTGTTCACGGCTCCGAGCCAACAGGACCGAGCTCGCTTCACCTCCGACCTCCGAGAGAGCGTCGCCGAGGTGCAGGACATGGAGAAGTACCGCGTGGAGGGTGAGTGGGCGGAGCCAGGGGTAGTAGTGGTAGTAGTGGTAGTGGTAGTAGTGGTAGTGGTAGTGGTAGTAGCAGGAGGAGTAGTAGTAGTAGTAGTAGTAGGAGTAGTGGTAGTGGTAGTAATAGTTTCTTTGTGTGTAGGCTTGTGGGTCCCTTTGGACACAAGCAGCTTGTACTAGTAGTATTAGTATTAGTATTAGTACCAGCAGCAGTATTTCTTGTGGCATTTTTATATTTCCCCCACAGCCGAGCTTGAGAAGCAGAAGGGTGTGCTGCGTCCAGGTGTGGGGGCGGGGGGCCCGGGAGAGGGCGGGGCCAACGTCAGTGGCGCCAAGGCCGAGGTGGTGAACGGCACCCTGGGTAGACCGAGCCTCGACGACACGTACGCCTCGGTGGACGGACTCAAGCGCACGGCGCTCAGCTCCTCACTGCGAGACCTCTCAGAAACAGGTGAGGGCGTCGTACAAGTACCTTTACAAAGTACACCGTAAAATATCACCCTGAACACGGGAACATGTGCAAATGGGATATTTAGCTGCTTTTGTTTTGAGGTGGAACTGACAGGGAGGTGGAGCTAAGAGGGAGGTGGGAAGTGTTGTATTTATTAAAGTGTTGTATTTATTAAAATACTATAAAACATTATACTGTAATTATGTAAATGTAAAATTAATCATAATTTTAGCAAATATGGGAATTGTGTCGGTGAGATAAGAGCTACACTCCAGTCGGGGGGTCGGTTAGCTTAGCTTAGCTTAGCATAAAGACTGAGAGCCTTCCTCACATTGAAACACATCTTATGGTCGCTGATTAACTTGTTTAATCTCCACACAATCACAAATGTTTTCATTGGTTAACATATTGTCTTTAACCTTTAACCTTGCCTCGTTCTGATTGGCTCACAGGGAAGCGAGGTCGTAGGAACAGTGTTGGGTCACTGGACAGTACCATTGAAGTAAGTTTGTCCGGGGGGGGGGGGGGGCTGTGAGCAGCATGCACATGTGTGCATTGTTGTCTGAAACACGATAAACGTGTGCATATTTTCATCTGAACGTCATGTTTCACCGTTTAGGCTGAAGCCGAAACGTCCACATGTGTGAGATGTGTGATTGCAGCTTTGGCCGTCCATTATTTTACAGGTCAACCGTCGATTCATTTATTGGGTCTTTTCTTTGCCTAAAGGCCACCAGGTCTGTGTGTGTTCGTCTACTTAACTTGACTCATTGTATTCAATGAGGTAAACGCTGAGCTATAGATCCATCTTACAAGCAGCCACTGATTCCAGCTCAGTTAATCCAGTTAATCAACTGTGAAAATCTACTTTCAAAGACTTTTCCAACCAACCAAAGTTCCAGGTATTCTCCACAGGAAGCAAACCCCAGTAATGAAAAGGGAAACAGAGACCTGTCAATCACGATTAGCTCCGACCTAAAGCATCCCCTGCTTCATATACTCACAATGTGAGCAATGTTTACTGAGGGAATAAATAAAGAAATAAAGTCGTTTCCTCATAGACGTCTATGGCACCAGAGGAGTCGCCCCCTGCTGGTCACTACAGAGAATGCAGCTTTAACACGCGTAGCTTTAACTGCACTTTTTGCACCTGATCAGTAGTCTGCTTCTGTATTTCATTCTCTTTTCTCTTGCTCCTCGCTCAGGGATCGATCATTAGCAGCCCTCGTCCACACCAGCAGCGCCCCCTGCATGCCGGAGGTCTGTCCTACAGCCCCATGATGGTCCCTTCCTCTCCAGCAGCCTACCGGCCACACCGCCCTACTCAGAGCCCCGGTACAGGGTTAGGGGGTGGGCCGGGGCTCTGTCACAACCAGGGGGGGATTGCCACCTCCCCTCTCGTGAGCGGGGGAGGGGTAGGGGGAGGAGGAGGGATGGCAGGTGGGGGAGGGCCGACTGGCGGCGGGCTGCTGGGGAACTTATTCGGCAGCCGCAGAGGCAAGTGTCCTGGTCCCCTGACGATGACGTCACCGACTCCTCAGGGTCCACCGAGTCCCCTGATGATATCATCCCCGCCCCACTACCCCGCCCCCGCGCCTCCCATCGCCCACCCATCCTCCCCTTCCCCGTGCCCCTCCCCATCGCCCAACCCCGTCCAGTTGGACTCGGGTGGGGGGCCGTCCAAGCTCCAGGCCTTGCACGCTCAGTATTGCCACAGCAGCAGTGGAGGAGGCGGAGCCTGTGTTACTGGGCACCAGCAGCAGCAGCAGACGCCCCCCCCACCCTACCACCACCATCACCGCTACCACATGCAGAGCGTGCCGCAGCACCACGCCCTCGGGCACAGATTCTCGGCCCCCCGGCGGCCGGGCCCGTCCAGCTGCGCTTCCTCTCTTGCCCAGCAGCATCAGAGGCTGCAACATGGCGTCGGCCAGCACCCGCGCTACAGCCTGGGCTTCATCACGCCGCCGCCGCTCTCCCCGCACTCCCCCGTCACGCCCACTACTCCGCACGGACTCTACCACTCGCACCCCTCGGTGGGGAGGCCGGGGGGAGGCGGCAAGCTCCCGCTGACCATTTCGCACTCGCAGCCCCACCCCCACGCGCACACGCACTCTCACAACCACGCCGTGCACGCACACTCCCCGCTCAGCCCCTCCCCTTCTGCCGCCCCCTCCACGCACTTCATCTTCTCCACGCCGCCTCCCCAGACGCCATCGGCGCGCCTCCTCCCCCAGACGCCGACGCAGCCCTACGCGCCGCAGTACACAGCAATCTCCTCCATCCCGCCTCCGCCTCCGCACTCCCCGCTGCCTCCCCCGTCGAACGCCGCGCTCTCCCTGCACCCCGGGGCGGGGGCGGGGCAAGGGGCGTGTCCCAAGGCAAAGCCGGTCAGCCCGGATCAGCACGGTCGTGTGAGGAGGCGGAGGCCGAGGACAGCGGCCCCGCCGACCCGCAGTGAGCCAGCGGGGGGCGGCAGTGAGGGGGGGCAGGAGGGGGAGGAGGCGAGGAGGAGAGTCTACCAACATGGCCACCTGTCCAGGAAGAAACCGCTGAGAGAGGGGAAGAGGGAATTACTCAGCCTGTGTTACTTTCACATCAACTTCCCCCGCAGGTAGAGAGACGTCACCGAGGAGCCTCCTCGGGCTCCTGCTTAGGCCCCTCGGCGGCGGCGGCGGCGGCCTCGGACTTGAGAGGACGAGTGCGTTCGTCCCGAGGGTACGAGTTTGGCGGTTGAGTGGCGGTTCGGGGATTAGCACCGGATGCTACCGCTACGTATGGTTCGATGGGACAATCCAGGTTTAGCTGAAAGCCGATGAATGCGAACGGCGATCCATTCACTATAGTCCCGAAAGAAGAAAATCACGCCGGTCTTGCATCACTCTGTTGTTTTTTTGGGCACATACAAAAAAAAAGGACTTGTGCTTTTGTTGGTTGTCGACAGATTACAAGCCATGAGGTCATCGGGGGAGTAGTTTGTGTGTCTTCGACAGGCGTGCATGACCTGTGCAATAGCTAATGAGTGTCAGTGTGTCTGTGGTTAGAAGCCCTTTATGCAGGGGGGGGAGTTGTTGTCATTTAAATAAACCAATCCAGCATTTTATTTGATCATTAAAAAAAAGTGCATTAGTGGAAGAGCTTCCTTTCTACAATAAACTTTTTTTAAAACTTCAAATAAGCCATTGTAACAAAAAGGAATGACAGGTGTATTTCTACCTTTGGTGTTTTCCAAAGAGGACTCGAAGCCTTGAGTGTTCGTGGCTCAGCAGGGGGCGCTACACTGTTGTTTTGGATTGGAACTTTAGGATGGGAGCGGGAGACCTTTGACATCGCAACTTACCCACACATTTGATCTCTTGAAGTCATTGGATCCGATGTCCCAGTGCGTCCGAAAGTAAATAGCAGAATTTTAAGCCTCGTTTTGCTCCATAATGTGACCGTTTATGTTGCCAGGAAAGGAGATTAAGGGGAAAGGTGCCAAACAGGCTGCAGTCTGGGAAACAGAGTCCTTTGCGTCAGTGGCTCATTGGTGATGAGACCGAAAATAAAGTTGTGAAAGAGGAAGTTTCTCAGCAGGTAGATCACTGGAAATCTAAATCTGAATATCATTGTCCAGACACGGATGTGATGAACTGAATGCTGTGGACAGACGTCTTTACACAGGCCGTCGATACCCTGGAGAAAGAAATAAAACCTATAGAACGTAAATATGATATACAAATCACAGATAATACAGACAAATCAGAACAATGAGCATATAAAATTAAATTTCAACAAGTTGTCTGAAGATCAGCAGGTGAATTGTTTACAAACTTCTCTCTCCGTCCACGCTGCATTTTACACATGTTTAAAATCACACAATGAGAACATACGTTTACAATAACACTTATTTCAGCAGCTGCAGACGGACATTGTTACTTGTTGCTAATAATTCATTTCCCACCCTGTCCAGACAGTGTTATCGTCTCTGAATCAGTGAAACATTTCCAGTGACCTTGAAGGGCGAGCAAAGTAGAATCCCACTTTTACTGCTCGGGTTTTAAATTGAGAATCAGGCGCCTTCAGACGGAAGGATGGTACAGAATCTACAGTCTGATTCACCGCCGTGGAACATAAAGACAAACCAGAAACACGTTGATTGATTCAATGCATTCAGAGAAAACAGAAAAACCAGAAGGCCGAGGCCTTCGTCTACCTAGTCCTCCACAAAAGAACCAGAGAAACCGGAACCTCGCTTTACCTCGAAGGACCGGAGAGCTCGGCGCGTTCCTCCACCACGCCGCCCTCCACCCAGCTCATTACTACACACTATTTCTGCACTTTTGTTGTAAACCTGCAACGCCAGTATTAAAGTGTACGTTTTTGCTTTTTCTCCAAGTGATCGAGGCGTCAACTGGAACAATCTTACCAGCCATTTGTACTTTTTTGACCAGAAAGGAAACCTCTCAGTGCTCGTTGCTTTGCAGCATATTTACCAGCGTTTCACAGGTGGATCATGGGAAATCCCTCCGATGTTCTGAATGCAAACACTGACGATTCTCCGTTTCTCCGTGTTGCGTAAAGATGAACTGTACAGTGTGTTCTGTTTTCCGACGGCGTCGACCTGCTTCTGAGGTTCAGGATCTGCTTGAAATAACGAAACGTATGCTCTAAAAAAGAAAACGTCCATCGGGGTTCTTCAGACATTTTGAGCAAACTTTGGGTTCCGCACGAGAGAAACAAACCAATAAAGATCCTTTAAATGCCCTTTTTGGTTACAATTGATCAATTGGAGTTCCTCAGGGAACCGTCCTGGGTTCCCTTTTGTTTTCTATCTGAAGAACCCCTTTGACTTTTTAGAGTGTTCTATTACTATCAATATTGTTGTGTGACAAGCTTCTACTAACATAACGTACTCCTTGGGCTGTTTTTGTATTCTTAGCACTTTTTATTTTGTTATGTGCTTACAAGTGTGATATTATTCAGTTTTTTCCTAATTTGGGCATCTTATGGAAGTACTAAAACCTTTTTTTACTTTTCATGTCTACAAAAAAACAAGAAAGTTCTGTGACCAACAAACGAATTATTATCATTCTAATATTTCAAATATAGACTATGATAATTACTTTCACTCACCCCGAACGTGTTTCTTTATTTTGCGAACACAAACTCTCTGAATCACTGCAAAGCCTCTCGCCAACGTTGCATGGAAACAAGCAGCACTTCTGCTACAAAACAATATTTATTCACTCTAAAATAAACTGTTTGGTGTCCAATACGCAGAAACACTTTCAGTATCACTGAATCCCACCCAGATTAAAACCAGTCACTAACACATTGACAACTAAACCAAGGTCTCAAGAAGCGCTGAAGCAAACCTACCTCGCACGGGACCGCACAACCTTCCACCGCGATCCACGCGTGTCCGAGTCCAATCGAGCACACGCTCGCTGAAGCTCCCACTTTAGAGGTCACGCACGTGTTTCCTGGTTGCCGTAGCCTCGCAACGACAAAGTGTACCTCACATACCTGGCAAATCCATTTGTTTCCTTCCTTTGGGTTTAGAGTTGATCTATTGATGGATAATCCGTCAGAATGAATGTTTATTTTTGTTGCAGGGGGATTGTCTGAAGGAACCATATTTCCGGGCTCGTTCTTGTGCTCTTAAATAGACTTTCAGAAGTGAACTGATATTTATTAATTTATATTATTATTATATTATATTTAGTTATTCAGAAGTTCCCAAAACGTCTTTGGTTTTTCCCAAAACGTCTTTGGGAACTTCTGAATGTGTTAAATCTTAATTTAAGGAATGAACAAAACCTGTTTGCCCCTGTTTGCTCGTTTTGTTTATTCCGGCTTTGACAAAAACATCAGCTCTTGAACATCAAGCTTAGAGGTAAATTTCCTTTGTTGGATCAGCTGCTGCACGTCTCTACCAGGAGACGCTTTTGATTGAAATCCATTAAAAGGAGTGGCTGAATAGAAGGAAGGAAACAATCTACCATGTGATGCACGGTTTAGTAATGCTACACGCAGAAAAAGCCTCTTTTAAATGCTCAATTTAAATATGTTTTTCTTGCTCTTCTGCTCTCCACTATCGGTTTGCATGTGGTATTTATTACAACATCTGCACTGAACGAACTGTATTATAAACATGAATGTACATAGCCATCGTTATATGACGAGTAACAATGCGAGTACTTGTGCTGTTTGTCGGCAGTTCGGTTCGACACCACAAACAGAAGATCTGGAGGCTTTTTTTAAAAACCGATCTGTTCTGAAAGAAGAAGAAAGCACATCAGAGTCAAGTTAAAAATGTCACGTTCTTCTGTTTCAGTGCAAAGGCGGCATGTGTGTGTGTGTGTGTGTGTGTGTGTGTGTGTGTGTGTGTGTGTGTGTGTGTGTGTGACTTTGGACCCGGGTCCGCCACCACGGGCTGTTTTGTGGAAAACAAACATTTCCTGTTTATAATGTAGAGCAAAGAGAGACTGGAATAGTCCTTGTAAAGATGTACGAGTAGTGTCAAATATGTGTCAACAGAGAAGACATTATTTTAAAAATTGCGTAATGAAAATTTTAGCTGTGTATATAAATATATTACTTGTACTTTGTTTTTGAAATTGCAAAGACATGGAAAGGAAAGTGGAAATATTTATTGCTCTAAAGATATAAAAAATCTGTTCATGTTGATGGAAACGCGTGTCTTGTTTTGTTTGGCTTGCACACACACACACACACACACACACACACACACACGCACAGGTAACCTTAATATTATAGTGGAAGGATGATGATGTTCAGAAAACCATTCTGCTTAGCATAAAGAAGGAAACAGTCTCAGTTACATTTTAACAGAATGACATATCAGACAAAAGGAACTACACACACAGACGGAAGGTGTGTGACCTTATTTCCACGCAATGAGGAAGTTGTGTGCACACTATTGTATTTGTGTCAAAAAAGAGTATCTGCACACTGCATCAAGGCCCAATTAATGTTTAAGAGGCCATGGTGTGCTGTAAACAATGTTGTCTATAACAATAAGTTAATATGACAAACAAATATCCAGCAACACTCACGATAGAAACCTTTAGATAGAACACAATGCTCTATAGGCCTGCTGGATTCAAAATGTGAGATTAAGCGAGTGGTGTAAGTACGTAGAATATGATGAATTTATGTGAAACTAAACCAGTCAACATAGTAAGAAGTTACAATGCACACATTCATTTGTAGTATAAGTATTGGTAGAAAAGGATCCAAATACTATTTTTATGGCTCCAATTTTATCAATATTATTTTATTCATGCTTATTTTTCCGATAAATCACTCCATCTATTTGCATACAAAGTTTTAGCCAAAATACGTTTTATTTTGTTTTATTTATAAACGCTGTTTCCGATTGACCCGGAAGTGCATTGTCAAACTGCGGAACGTGTTGCAGTAACTAATACACAAAGTCCCTAAATGTGGTGAGTCAAGGTCGATTTAAAACGTATATTATCATCATCACAGAGTCCATTAAGGTGATTTAAACAGAATCCGAACTTTTAAATGTTAAAGAGCTAACCGAGCTAAGTTAGCTTGTCCCTTCAGCTGTAGCTAGCGTCTTTAGCTTCAGCTAGCTTTCTACACGGTCACACTGCTACTGATGCTAACGTTAGCTAGCCGTTGGTAACTGAGACTTTATGTCAGTAGCGGGCTAGCTTAGCTACCATTGCTTCCGTTAGAGGTATCGAGGTGAGTTTCAGTCGCTTCTAAGTGGTGTGTTTTGGTTAGCTGTTAGCTGTTAGCTGTTAGCTAAGCCCTCGCTGCCTTCAAAAGTTCTCCTAACGTTAGAGTGTTGTTGATTTTTTTTTTTTTTAACAAACTATCTAAAATGATTCAATTAGGAGTGAAGGTCATTCAAACATCAACTGTTTGAATTTCTCTTCATTATAAAATAATTGTGTATTTATTAAAGAGAAGAATATATTTACTGCATCGAAAGCTAGCATGTCATTTACAGTTTTTTTGTTTTACTAACATTAATATTCAGAATATTTCATTTCACTTATGAATTAGATCAATTATTTTTAATAAAAGTCACCAACTGTTTCTACTCCTCTATTAAATCATTGTTATTTTGTGTATAAAGACCATTTTAAATGACCTTATGTTGCTATAAATTTAGTTTATTGAACATATTGTTTTTTTAAGTTATGTGTTATTTTAGATTTGTTATCTTTCATATGTTTGTATGACATAGTACTCTAGTAGTTGTGCATTACATCATAAACATGTTCTCTTCTGCTCTTTCAGAGCGTCGTCCCGCTGCTTCGGCTGGCCGGTAGAAACGAGCGATGGCCGATCCAGAGCTGCTGCTGGACTCCAGTATTCGGATGTGGGTGGTGCTGCCCATCGTCTTCATCACCTTCTTTGTGGGGATCATCCGTCACTACGTCACCCAGCTGCTGCACAGCGACAAGAAGGTCGACATGGAGCAGGTTTCAGACAGGTGAGGTATATACATTAAAATACAATTAGCGAATTCATTGCACATTTTAAAATTCATTCATCTTGATGAATTAATTCTGTTGTTACAATGTTGTTTTTCATGAACGTTTGTTTTTCTTCCAAAGAAATATTACAAGTAATGAGTAATCACTTTACAAAGCAGGTATAAAACTAGCAGCTAGCTTAGCATAGCGGTGCTTTAAGTGGTCCGTTTGCCACTCGCCCCCCCTTCTGTTTGACACGTGGAGCAAAAAGCTCTTTGTTTTGATGTAACTGACGTTTTCCGCGGTTTACGGTGTCTTTACACGTGTGTATATACACACATGTGTGTTTACACCGTGTGTATATACACACATGTGTGTTTACACCGTGTGTATATACACATATATGACCAGAGAATGATGAAATACAGCCAGTCACACAGGATTTACTCAACATGATCCATAATTCATGACATAGAATCCCAACACGATGTTTACATGTTAGCCAGCATGTAACCATGGCAACGCTGCAGAACGTGTTGTAAATTGATGTGAGGTGTTGTTGTTGTTGTTGTTGTTTCCGTTCAGTCAGGTGCTCCTACGCAGCCGCATCCTCAGAGAGAACGGAAAGTACATCCCCCGACAGGTGAGCGCACGTTGTTTTAAGCTCTAATTTACTTTACAATTATTGCGCATCAACAGTCTTCTAAAATTCTTATTGTTATGAAGGACAAATGCTCGTACAGACAGACAACCGAGGCAGGGGGGGGGTTGTCAGGGGAGGGGCCTCATCACGCTTCTCACCCAATGAGAGCCTTGGGGGCAGGCCTAAGACGGCTCCATGTCTCTGCCCCGCTCTTACGTGGACATTTTCATTTTAAATCTCCTCCAGACGGAGTTGATGGAACCAAAGTTATTAATAACAAATACCGTTTTAAAAACACGTCTGACGTGAGAACAAGCTGCTCTTTACTCCGGTCACCAGCCATGACGTTCTCCCAATTAGCGTTATGAACATCGATGTAGCAACGTACATTTATAACAAATACTCTGCAAGCGAAGCTCCACGCCAAGCAGCGCGTCTCTGTCTCCGGCCATCAGCTCCGTACGCCACGCCGACATTCTCCGACGCGCTGGCCGTCTGCAGGCGGCAGTTCCGAGTTGTAAATCGAGGGCGTAGCGACGTTCGCTTTTGTCATTGAGTCGTATTGAGCGAGTTGATTCTTTTCGTTTAAAGCGTTAACTTCATACCATGAAGTCTGTCACGCGGTAGATAACATGCAGCTCTTCCTTGTGTCACCTGCTGTCGTCATGACGTCAACACATGGAGACACACAAAGAGCGTCAATCCAACATAAATGCTTCCTATATGTTACGTATCTTTAGTTCCTGCACAAGAGATTAAATTATTAACATTCCCAAAATGCCAATAAAGTAATGCACACGCTTTGAGACTTTACATATACTGTTAAGTTAGTAAAGTTTGTTCATGTATTGTCCATAACTTTAACTTAAGAAAAAAGAAGAAAAGTATTGTTCAGGCGTAAGTATTGTTTTAGCACTGATGTCATGATAAAGCCAAACGATACTCGTCCCTAGTGGAGAATTGTACACACATTAAAAAAAGTTTCTTGGGGCCTAATTGAAGGGAAGAGGAAACACTGCATGCTTTGCTATTCATTGTTAGTTTAAATACTACATTTTCTCACTTTTCATGTTTCACGGTTTCACAAAGTTTTTGGTCAAAATGTGTCTGAAATGAGAAGCGTTGATTGTTTCAGTCGTTCGCCATGAGGAAACATTTCTTCAACGACGCTGAGACGGGATTCTTCAAGAAGGCGAAGAGGAAGGTCGTCGCCAAGAACCCGATGACCGGTGTGAACTTCTGTCCGACCAGCACGCGATGATCATCATAACTTAAAGGAACAGATCCATTTGCTCGACATTTTAAAAAGCTTTTATTTAAAACCCTTTCAAGAAACCTTTCAACATTTTTATATCTTTTAGTTTGTTTTAAAACGGTCATTAAAAAACAATTGAAATAATAATGAAATAAGATATTGTTTTTTTAATCGCTTTAAAACATTTTAAAGCTGTATAATGATGTGCTTAGTGATGAGTTTAGTGTTAGGAAGCTAAACGGATCATCTTCTGTCTCTAATATGGTTATCCGACAGACACCAGCATGCTCACGGACATGATGAAGGGAAACCTCACCAATGTCCTGCCCATGATCGTGATCGGCGGATGGATCAATTGGGCGTTCTCTGGATTCGTCATAAGTGAGTTGACTGTGGCGCTGATTCCGTCCCCCAGGGGGCGACTGTGCTGCGTAGAGCCGAGGTCACAGGACCGTATTTATCCATATATATAACAGAAAAATGCAAATTTAAAAAATCCAATGGTAACGGACACTTTGTAAACAAACACAAAGTATGAAAATGTCTATTTTGTGATCAGAACTGAATTGGTCAAAAAAAGTCAATGAAAGTGGACAGTTTAATTCACAGGAAATGATCTTGCTGATTTAGTTGTTTTATCTATTTACTTCTTGTTTACTGCTTGTTTACTGCCTGTTTGTTGCGCGGTGCAGCCAAGGTTCCGTTCCCTCTCACTTTGAGGTTCAAGCCGATGTTGCAGAGAGGAATCGACCTGCTGTCACTCGACGCCTCCTGGTAAACACAAACGAAAACACGACAACACCAAATGAGATATTGGTCCCCGTGAATAACGGCCATTGGTAAATGTTGCAGGGTGAGTTCTGCGTCCTGGTACTTCCTCAATGTGTTTGGACTGAGGAGCATGTACAGCCTCATTCTGGGACAAGACAACGGTGAGGCTCCTCCCCCTTCACAGTTCCTTTATTAGAACACGCTGTATTCAATAACTTGTACGGAGAATTTTGGATGAATGTTTTTGGATTTTTGTCGGTGTTAGCTACGTGCATGTGACCAGAAACAACTCTCAGAACCTACATGAAGTGTATAGGAAGTGATGCTCAAACCAGCAACTGAGAGAACAGTAATATTCAGCATAATGTTAAAGTTATGTTACACATTGAATGCAGCAGAAAGGGGGAGGAGTTATCTAATTGTCTAATCACTGAATTCCATTTTGTTTTAATGGTTCATTTTAACTAATATAAGATTACACCACGTCTTCTGTCCAAGCGTCTTTGGAGGTCACCGTTGCTAAGCAACCAAATCCTCTTCGCCGACAATGAAGACTGAACGAGTGGAACAAACATGTGATTGGTCTATTTTCTCGTAGCTGCTGACCAATCGCGGGTGATGCAGGACCAGATGACGGGCGCCGCCATGGCGATGCCCCCCGACCCCAACAAGGCTTTCAAGGTGACACGATCAGACTGCACTAATATCACAATCAATTTTGTTTCTTTTAATTCCACAAGAATCCTCTTCAAGTACATTAAATAAAGTTTGATTCAGTGAGATAAAGAATGAAGTAACTTCACGTCTCTTTTTACTCTTTCTAAAGCGCCGGACGTGAAGATGTCACATGACCGTTTATCTCGCACCAAACCGAGTTGTTTGTTTGTTTGTCAGAGCGAGTGGGAGGCGCTGGAGATCGTGGAGCACAAGTGGGCTCTGGAGAATGTGGAGGAGGAGCTCATGTCCCGAGACCTCAACTTTGGCCCCATCTTCAGCCAGGACCTCAAGTGCGCCATGTTCTAGAAGGGGGGGGGGACCCGGAATACACAAAACACCCCAATCACTTTGTTCACATTTTGCCTTTTTTTTTCTTTTTGCCTTCCGGTGTTGAGATTTAATAAGAGAACCACGGCTGTAATGAATAATATATATAAAGTTTTTACTCTATATCCACAGGGCTCTGCGTTCACGTGTATTTGTACCTTGTACTTCCTGTTTTTATGTATTCTGGGTTCTGCCGTCGTAACCCGGGGCGACGCTGAATAAAAGCTGTCACGTGATGGTTTGTCTTCTCATTGACACGAAGGTTCCCTTTAACGTCGGGATTTAAGTGGCAGGAAAGCAGCTGGTTGCCGTGGTGATGAAGCGCAGACTTCTTGTGATTTACTCATTTATATTTTAATTTTGAACCAACTCTGAAACTTTCCGTCACGTTGTGATAATCATTTTATTCATATCAAAAGATTGAAAGTACAATAAAATATTTTCATCTGATATTTGATAGGAAGACCAAAGAAAAATCAGCCAAACTTTCCCTCCCGACCCGAAACAGCAATAATACAATTCTTACAAAAATACTGTACACTGAGCTGCTTTTAAAATCAGCGAGAGCTTAAAGACCAAACAAGCCGCGGTACGAATCTTCACCTATAAACACATCGAGGTCCAATCAAACTCAAGTCATGTGACAGCAGAAATTATATTAATACCAGAAGAAAATAAACAATGTACAAAGAAATAAACAATTATTTTCCCTGTCAGCTTTTTTCAATATTAAATGATCTTAACATTCTGATTACCCACAATCCCCTGCTGCTGACAGACATTAGTGAACTATTTAACAGCTTCTACTTTGTATATTAGATGGCAATTTCACAGAAGCTTGGTGTATAAATATGTATAACCAGAATAATTACTAAACTTATGTTTTATATAATTCCATTTAAATGATGCGTTATAAAATGATTGTCTAACTAATGCTGAATGAATAACTGAATTCTAAGAACCTCAAATAAATTACTAAATATTTAAGCAATTTATTTTTATTCCTTTTTAAAATCCAATTATTCATCATTTAATAACAAACTATTACCTTTCAATCGTATAACACATCATTTAAGTCTTTTACTTGGTGGTCATCGTGTTGCTGGAACGTCCTCCTGAGTTCTGACGGTCAAAAGAGCTGATTAACGGTTTCCTCCTCAAACTACCTGAGTGTCTCCATGTAGAGAAGAGCAGCTGATCTGAACTGTGCTGCACAAACTGGGAGGAGAAGAAGTAATCAGAGAAAGTTCAAGTCTGAGGAAAATAATAATTTAAAATAAATCACATAAAAAGAGTCCTGCTGTTCAAACAAAAAGTATTACTGTGAATTTGATTCAAACTAAGACCAATTGATTTAGTCCGTCTCCATGGTAACGGACGATGAGGCGGCGGCCAGGTCGGCTTCTTCCTCCTTGCAGAAGGTGATGTCGTTGGCTGCGGCGGGGCTCAGGGTGGGGGGGGGCAGGGTGGGCTTCCTGATCTGGTCTTGACGATGGTAAAACAGGACGTAGGCGGCGTTGGTCTGAAGACAAACGTTTATGATCACATGGAAGCTTCTTCGTAGAGGAACCAGACTCCATCCACAAAAACACGGATTAAACCTCAGATCACACCGGTTAGTGTGCGTTGTGAGACTTCGTCCAGATTCACTTAAGTCACACAATAAAACAAACACGCACGCCTGCCTTTGCGTCTCTTTAGCTCAGGCTCTGCTCTCTCCCTTCTCTCGTCCTACCTCGACGGACGCACCTACCGGGTAACCTGGCGAGGATCTGTGTAGGAACCTTGTCCTCTTACTACTGGAGTTCCTCAGAGTTCCGTCCTGGGTCCCCTCCTCTTCTCGCTCTACACCAACTCTCTCTGCGCTGTCATTCGCTCGCATGGCTTCTCCTACCACAGCGATGCTGATGACACCAACTAATCCTCTCCTTACCTCACTCGGATCTCTGCCTGTCTGACTGACGTCTCTCAGTGGATCCGCCCACCATCTGAAAATCAACCCCGACAGACTGAACTACTTCTCTTTCTGGGAAAAGATTCTCCTTCACAGAACTTGACTGTTAACTTTGAGACTCCGTGTTAACGCCCACTTTGACTGCAGGAACCTCGGCGTGACGTCGACAGCCGACTCTCCCTGACTCCAACATCACTGACAACACCATCCTGTAGATACTCGCTCTACAACATGAGGAGAACACGTCCTCTTCTCACTCAGAAGGTACTGATTCAGGCTCTTGTCGTCTCCCTCCTGGACTACTGTAACTCTCTCCTGCAGGTCTCCTGCTACCACCATTCAGCCTCTGCAGCTCATCCAGAATGCAGCAGCTCCACTGGTCTTTAACCTTCCTAAGTTCTCCCTCACTCCTCCACTCCTCCGCTCTCTTCACTGGTACCGGTGGCTCATCCAGTTCTTAACACTGGTGCTCACGTACCATGCTGTGAATGGATGGGGTCCAGCTTCCATCCAGGACCTGGTCCAACCCGACATCCCGACCCGCACTCTCCGCTCTGCATGTGATAAACTGCTTGTTCCTCCTCACTGAGAGCAAAACACTCGACTAGATCTCCACTCTTTGCTGTCCTGCTCCTAAATGGTGGAAGGAGGTCTCTGAAGACATCAGGACCACAGAGAGCCTTCACATCTTCAGACTAAAGACACACCTCTTCAGACTCTACCTCCACTAACACACTAACTAACTGTAGCACTTACATTGGACTTATAATGTTCTTATCTACAGCAAGTTGTACATCGGCTTATTTGAGGAAATCACACTTTCTTGTTCTTCTGAGTTTGTGTCCTTATGGTTGAAATGTTCTTATCGTAAGTCGCTTTGGATAAAAGCGTCAGATAAATGACATGTGATGACGACTCACCACGATCTGGTCCTCCTGGGCGAAGGTCACCTTGCTGTCGTCGAAATAGTACCACTGACCGTTGTCCTTGTTCTGTGCATAGCTGGTGTCTGGGGGGGGGGGCAGAGAGACTATGAGTCCACGCGGCCGTGGAGAGGGAGACGGGTCGTGGTTAGGGGCGGGACTTACAGTGGCCGTCTCTGAGCCCTCCGTAATGATTGGACACAGCGATGAGGTCGTAGCGGCTCGGGGGCTCCCCATTGGACAGACTCTTCCTCAGGAGGCAGTCTGAGAAGTCCAGATCTCTGCAACACAACAACACACAACTGTTCATGTAGTCTGACTCAGCTGAGTGTGTGTGTGTGTGTGTGTGTGTGTGTGTGTACCTGAGGGGGAAGTCCACGATGCTGTCCAGCTTCTCTCTGGTGAACTTGGTGTAGGAGAACCTCTTGAGGTGGATGATGAGGACCTCAGGCAGAGACCAGAGGTCCAGCTTCTTGGTGGCCAGCTGGTGCTTCTTACACACAGGACAGTACCTGAACACACACACACACACACACACACACACACACCGGTCTCATTGCTGCCACGTAGTGTGTGTGTGTGTGTGTGTGTGTGAGAATGTGTTACCATGGGTTCTCCTCCTCCAGTGTCTCCACAGTGGTGAAGAGCTCGATGCACTCCTGCAGCTGCACTGTGGTCTGCTGCTGAGGAACCTCCATGCTGCCGTGCTTCACGTACTTCTACAGAGGGGGAGGAAGAGGAGGTTTAGTCCATCATCTTCATCGCAGACATCGCTTTGGGACGACTGACACGTTGACACGGACCTCGGCCTCGTTCTCGTTGTAGAATCTCTTCTTCATGTCCGGGTCCCAGTCGATGGCCACGTAGGGCTGAGCTACACACACACACACGCACACACACACACGCACACACACACACGCACACACACACACACACGCACGCACACGCACGCAGACACACAGACATTTGTTATTGAATCATAAGTAATTTATTCTAAGATGTTAAAGTTCTGCCTGTTTTGCTCAGCTGCAAAGTTTACAGAACAAGATGACATCATCGAGTGATGCAGAGAGGGTCAGTGTGTGTGTGTGTGTGTGTGTGTGTGTGTGTCCTACAGCTGAAGGACACGGCGCTCCCCCCGTCCCCCGTCCCTCGCTCCGTGGTCCCGTTTGAGTTCACAGCCTGGATGGTGAACAGACTCCGCCTCCTTCTGCGACACGCCTTCCTCTTTGCCAGCTGCTCATTGGCCAGTGGGCTCGGAGAACACGCCTCCTCCTGCTTGTCTTCTTCTTTTTCTTCTTCTTCTTCTTCTGTGGTGTCGCCTGGTGGTTCCTCTACCGGCGGCTTGGCGGAGCCGCTCGCGTCGCCGCCGGGATTAACCACGTCGGTGGTGCAGGCGGCCTCAGGCGGCCTCTTGGGCTCCGTATCGCCGTCGACTAATGTGGGCGGAGCGTGGTTCACGGCGGTCTCGTCTGAGTTGCCGCAGCAGCGCTGCGTTTGAGACGGCCCGGCTTTCTCAGCGTCCTCCTGCTCCTCTAAACACAGAAAGGAACCAATCAGAGGGGCGATGGAGACGGGACGCTCACAGGGAACCAGCGCGTTTACATCATCACACGATACCGTCACTGATGCCGTTGGTCTGACTCTGATACAGCTCCTCTTCCTCCTCCTCCTCCTCCTCCTCTTCTTCTTCCAACTCCTCAGAGGGGTCGGGAGGTCGCACATAGCGCCTGTTCGTGCACGCACACACACACACACACACACACACACACACACACAGTAAGAAGCGGACATGCTAACGACTCGCTCTGGTATATTTTTTTGATGTTTTGAAGCCTCTAGGTTTACAACCAGAGAAGAGGAAGTGACCATATAAGGACTGAGGAGGATGTAGAGACGCCGTATACGTCTCTGGTAGAGAGAGACCTGTCAATCAGCGTGTAGCTCCGCCCTAAAGCATCCTCTGCTTTATGGTCTGTTTGACTCTAAATGGACCATCAGTCACTAAATGAACATCATGTTGTGTTGAAGAAGACTTGAAACTAGAGACTGAGACATAAACTCATGTTTACAATGTTTACTGAGGGAATAAATCAAGAGAGAAGTAGAGTCATTTCCTCATAGACGTCTATGGGAGCAGAGGAGTCGCCCCCTGCTGGTCACTACAGAGAAGTAGAGTCATTTCCTCATAGACGTCTATGGGAGCAGAGGAGTCGCCCCCTGCTGGTCACTACAGAGAAGTAGAGTCATTTCCTCATAGACGTCTATGGGAGCAGAGGAGTCGCCCCCTGCTGGTCACTACAGAGAAGTAGAGTCATTTCCTCATAGACGTCTATGGGAGCAGAGGAGTCGCCCCCTG